TTATATTTTTATTATTCAATAAAAATTAAAAAATACACTTTATTATTGTATAATGAAAAGCATAAGAGATCAGAAAGATCACACCATTTCTCCCTTGCTTTTGTGCCACGAGATTCCTCTAATTCAGACTGACATTCATTGTCACCGACATCAGAAGTAAGCTCCCTGGGTAACTACTCATGCTGTTTTCAGATTGATTCTCAGCTCTGCGTCACTCACCCAGACTGGCACATTAACTGATAAATCAGCTGACAAATGCCCATGCATGCTGATAGCATGCAAGGGAGCTGCCTGCTCAGGGCCTGCCAAGAGAATGGTGTGATGTATGATCAGTAGAGCCACATGGTGCCATTACTCCTTGCTTAACAATCCTCTCTGGAGGATCCAAAAGGAAGGGGACCAGTCTCCCTGGCTCCTCATCCATCATGGAGTATCCTCACAGTGGGCTTGAAGCCTGTGTAAAGCATCGTGTCAGCATCTCATTCGGGAACAGCTGCCGCTCACAGCTCGTGAAATCCTTCTGTCTAGCTGTCTTGCAGTAGACACTTAACTGCCGGCTGCGTGAGCCACAACAGAGCGCGTCACTGCTTCTCACACACGAGAGACTCGGAAACACAAAGGGATCCAGGAGGAGAAAGGAAGAAAAGAGAGTAGGAAGGGGGAGGCACTGGCGAAGAAGAGGAGTGATGAAGTGCGAATGGAGGAGTGGAAAAGGGGGCTCACGTGGTGAAGGGTGAGAGGGGCAGAGATGCAAAGACCTCCTTTCCTCCTGAAAAGGCTGCCAGTCACTCTCCCCTTCTTATGGAGAGGGGAGAGAGGAGCTGGGCACTAGCCGCAAGTGGTAGACACTATCTAGACATGATGGGCATGAGCCGGCAGTGTGCGCTGGCAGCCCAGAAAGCCAACCGTATCCTGGGCTGTATCCGGAGAGGTGTGGCCAGCAGGTCGAGGGAGGTGATTCTGCCCCTGTACTCTGCTCTGGTGAGACCCCACCTGGAGTGCTGCGTCCAGCTGTGGAGCCCTCAATATCAGAAGGATATTGACCACTTGGAGCGAGTCCAGAGGAGGCCACGAAGATGATCAGAGGGCTGGAGCACCTCTCCTATGACGAAAGGCTGCGAGAACTGGACTTGTTCAGCCTGGAGAAGAGGAGGCTCCGAGGAGACCTCATTGCAGCTTTCCAGTATCTGAAGGGGGCCTACAAGGGTTCTGGGAGAGGACTTTTTACAAGAGCCGGTAGTGATAGGACAAGGGGTAATGGGTATAAATTGAAATCAGGGAGGTTTAGATTAGATGTCAGGAAGAAATTCTTCACAGAGAGGGTGGTGAGGCACTGGAACAGGTTGCCCAGAGATGTTGTGGATGCCCCATCCCTGGAAGTGTTCAAGGCCAGGCTGGATGAGGCTTTGAGCAACCTGGTCTAGTGGAAGGTGTCCCTGCCCATGGCAGGGGGGTTGGAACTGGATGGTCTTTAAGGTCCCTTCCAACCCAAACCATTCTGTGATTCCATGATTCTATGGGAAGAAATCTGCCTCTATCCAGGAATCCAGCTTTACTTCATTCACCCACTGGAGAACAGAGACATCAGGTGAGTTGTAACCCCTTGTGACTGACATGATAACCTGGACAACACCTATCTGAGGAGAACTGCACCCCAAGACTGACATCAAAACTTGGACATCACCTTCGGGCAGTTTCCTGTACAACACAGTAGACACCACCTCTGAGACTCCACAAGAACCAACCCTTTGGAAAAAGGATGCATGGCAGGGAGATGGGCCTAGATGACCTTTAAAGTTCCTTTGCAGCCCAAACTATTGTATGATTCTATGATAACAGGAGAGTCTTTGGGGCAGCTGGTCTGTTTTACCTGTGGCAGAGCTTGAACAACTGTATCCAGCAGTGCTCTCATTCCTGTGGCCATCTTCAGTAGCTTCAGAACTGCCCCAACAAGCACAAGAGAAGTGTTACTCAGACTGAGCTCAGAAGGTCCATCCTTTGTGTAACTTATTAATGGCAGTAGCACAAGAGAGACACCTTGCCCTAGAAAAGTTGCACTGTCCTCCTTGGCCACTTTCTCCCGCTGCCCACTTCTTTTGACTGTACAACCCCAGTGGTTCCTTCTCCTGTGCATTTCCTTCTCACTAAATACTCTGTTTCTGCCACCCACACCTATCGAGTGGCTTCTGCTTCACCCAGTCTGGCCAAGAGCTCTCTTTCTTACAGCACTGTGCATCACAAGTCTCCCTCTGCTCTGCTCTTTCATTCCATCACTTTCTCTTCCTCCAGCCACCATCTGTGAAGGCAGCTTAGCACAACTTGGCCAGCACCAGGAAGATTCAGTCCCTTCAGTCCCTGTGCAAAATTCAACCTGCTTGGTGGCCCCTTCTCCAAACACCACTGCCACACTTACCCCATAAAAGAGTAACAGAGGAAGTTAAGCTCTTGCATGATATGCTAACCTTCCCAGTTCTTCATCAGGTTAAAAACAGTGGTTAAAACCACTGCATGAAAAATGCCTGGCTCAAGGAAGCCAGAAAGCCTTAGCTTCGAAGGCTGTTCTCTGTCACATCCCCTGCCTCCCTCCCAGGGCGAGGGACTCTACAGCACTGCTCAATGAGTCAAACACCAAGTCTCACTCCATAGCCACCTACACCCCTGCCTCTGGCCAGTCTCTCACCCCGGGCGATGCGCAGCACCCTCATGATCCGGATGATAGTGGGGTTAATTGGGAGAGCAGCGTTGATTTCAATCTCTTCCAACGTGATGCCCATGACAGACAGCAGCACAATGGCCAGATCTAGCTGGTTCCACCTTAAGAAAGATTGAAGAGAATAAAGGAGGATGGATTTTTTTCCATTTCCCTAAAAAATAAAGTGAATTGTCTCCACTTTAACCTAAATATTTCTTTATGTATGAATTCAAGGCCCCACTCTGAGTCAGCCTAGATGGGCTTTCTCAGACAAACAGAGATCCACTTTGCACATACCCGGAGCAGCCAGAGGCAAGCCAGCCTGCTCTGAAAGCATGGAGCTGTGTTACTATGGTGCTATGCTTTGACTAATGGGCTCAGCTTTTTATGGCCTTACTACCTCGAATCAGCTTCGTTATACACATTCTGCTTCAGCATACTCCCAGTTTTCCCTCAAGGGCAGGAAAAAAATGGTTGTATCTAACCCCAGCTCTCCGCTTTCTAGCCTAACCAGCAGATGCCAACCAAGAGGCAGTTTTCAGACAACTCTTACTATTGCCTAAGCGTGGCAGCTCATGTGGGCTGAGGCTAGGTCCATGCTGTGCAGAACTGGGAGGCAGTCAGGGCACTCTGCTACCCCCTCATGCTCCAGATAGGGTTCCATCCTCAAAACCTCCACCCCGAACCCAGTTGTCTCCCACGGTTGACATGACCCTCTGCTCACCTGTCTTTGAAGAATCGCCTCAGGCCAAATGCCACCAGCTTGAGAACTGCCTCCAGCACAAAGACAGTGGTGAACAGGTAGTTGCAGTACTTGAGGGCGGTCTCCAAGGACTGCCAGCAGAAAGACAGGGTAAAGAATTGAGGTGAAAGCAACATTAAGCACATAACCTGGGAGGGGACACTCTCCTGAGTGCCAGGAATTCACGAGGAGATGTGGAACCCGCCCCATGCCTCCTACCTACTTGCATGTGGAGGCTACCTACTAAGGGCAACCATCAGCTGACCCCTCCGCCCCATGCTGTTCTCAGGATCAGTTATCGCTCCTTTCTCCGGAACTGTTCAGCGTAACAAGGAGGAGACAGCTGTTGTGAGGATAATCCACCAAATACCATCAGCATCCCAGTACCATCCCTCCTCCACCAGCAGCTGATGCCACCTGGATGCCACCATGTACATGGCACTGGCATAGCTATTGGCTAGAAGTGAGGCATGAAGGTAACTTCAGTTGTAGATATGTGTTACCTCTGATGGGAGAAAAGCCCTCTGTGTCTTGGTGTGGGGCAGGCATATGTCATGCCACCACTGGTGGCACTTTGTACTGGAAGGGGCCAAAGTGCTTTGGCAAGATCCTTTAGCAGAGCCTGACAGCAGGCTGGCATGGCTGGATCTGCATTCCAGGGGAAGGAGATGAGGGCTAAAGGAGCAGAGGGACTTGTTCAGGAACAAAGGCCTGACATGAGGATGATAACAGATAAAGGTTGAGAGTTCCTGCAGAGGAAAACTGGGCACCACCAAAGGCAAGACAAAAGGTGGGCAGCTGGGCAAGACGGGCTGGAGACAGAGGAGACTGTCAGTAGATTTGAATGAGGACAGACAGATTCAGTTCCTGATCAAAGCCTGAGCTATCTCGGACAGCATCTGCTCAGGCACCAGAGCTGTCACCTGAACCAAGGGTCTCCCAAAGAGAAAACTGAACTGCCACCGGGCAGATGTCATGGTGAATGCTCTGTCTACATATGGAAGCCGAAAGCTCCTTCGATATGTGTAGCACACATTTTGTTCCATCAGAGGCACCTAGAACTTGGCCAGGAACATGGGAGGTACCTGGTCTTCCCCAGCTAAAGTATAAAACTTGGTCTTCAAGACCCATTTTCCTGGCAATCAGCCCAAGCAGCTGAGAGCTCTGCTTTGCCCCTGCACCTTCTCTTATGCAAAAAAGGTGGCTTGGAAAAGACATCCCATGACATACAACCAGCCACTCTGGTCCTCTCAGCTCAGGCCATATGGCAGGAGAATTGGCCTGACATTTGAGAATCTGATGCAAAGCCTGAAGCTCCCAGGACACTGCTGTTTCCACCACTCCTCCTGTTAGGATCCACAGGAACATACAAAGGAGACCAGGCAGCTAAATTTGGGTGACCCACATACCCACTTAATAATATAAAGCACAGAGATTAATTGCGCTGTGCTTTCTAGGGGCCCAACTATTGCTTAGATACCATTATCTCTTTTGAGTGTCTGAGTAGGGGCTACCTTTTGGGATATATAAGAAACTCTTCACGTAGCTTTGGCTACTACATTAACTCTTGCAACACTCCAATGGTATTTTTTAGCGAGGCCCAAGTGTTCTACCTATTCTGGTGGGCAGTGGTCATCAGAAAGCTGTAGCAAAATAACATAATGGCAAGAGGCAGGGCTTATCTCCATGATCTCACTCACCACAGGTTGGTTGTAGTGCTCCAAGGACATAGTGACCACGTTGAGGCAGATGATGAAAGTGATGAAGATGTCCAGATAGTGGCTGGTGCAGACCGAATGAATAAGGAGGCGTATGGGGCAGTAGGTAGCATAGTACGGCAAACGCTGCGCCTCTTCAGTGGAAAAGGGAGATGGGCAGAGTTAGGAAGAAATTGGAAGAAACAGAGAAATGGGTAAGAAACACTGAGGAGGGAGCAGGCATAAAAGTAATGATAGGAAGTGGTTGAAAGAAAAGGGCATGACAGCAGGAGAGAGAAACAGAAGAGGGTAGGTAAAAGATAGGGGACGTAGGAAGGAGGGGAAAAAGGGAAAAAAAAAAAGAGGAAAGTAGAGGGGGGGAAGTAGAAAAAAGAAAAGGAAAGGAATGCTAGAAAGAAAATCTGTTAGTCTGTGTTTGCAGGAATGGTGCTAAATCAGCATTTCATGCCTCGACAAATTAAGATCACAAATGATAAAAGGGAGCAGATGGTTCCAGGAGAGGCCCCGCGGTGTCACAGGAGAGAAGGAAAAACTGGAGCGGAGGAAGGGAAAGCATGCCCACAGGCTGTGAATGGCAGAAAACCATCAGTCTGGGGTAGTAGGGATGAATTCCAGGGGAGAGCATTCTTTTGCAGTTTTTGTCTAAAAGTAATACAGAAGAGGACAGAAACACCAGAAGAGGGCTTGTTTCACTCCAGGGGGTCTGGGACCCTGAGGAGTGACAATACAACATTGATGGAAAGAGCCAGGAGCAAAACACAGGGGTCTTCGCCCAAACACCAGCTGAGTTGCAGGAAACCCAGGGGGCGCTATCCCAAGCCCAGAAGGTGTACCAATGCATGCGATCGGTATTTTTTGGTACATTATCTCCCGAGGGGCAGGGTGCTACAACCCCAGCAGCTTCCCCAGAGTCCCAGCAGCCTCGTCAGCCACCCTTCTTCCCCAAACCGCCCCAGTGAGGTGTGTGGTGACACGGCAGTGGCATGGGGAGGAAGGCTGAGAGCACGGCCACAAGCAATGCATTTCCGAGACCGGTCCATTGGGAAAGAAAAAGAAGAGGAGAAGGTTTTTCTCAGAAAACCTTGGCCTACGAACCGACCAAACATTTAGGCTGTGCCTTACTCCTTCGCTTCTTCTCCAGGCGGCGCAGGCGCTTCTCCTCCCGCCGGCGTGCCTCCTCGGCCTCCTGGTGCTGCCGACACTTGTGGAAGTTCTCCACCACCACCCCCACGAACATGTTGAGTACAAAGAAGCTGACGATGAGGAGGAAGGAGATGAAGTAGAGGAGCATCCAGGGGTTGTTGTTGGTCACCGGCTGAAGGATGAGGGGGAGAAGAGACCCTGGTTGAATGGGCACTGGTATGGAAATGATGGGCGTGGAAACTGCCATGGTGACTGGTGAGGTGGGGAGAGGTTATGGAAATCAGGGGAGTGGGCTGGGAAGAGCTGGGGTTAGAGGCAAGGCAGTGTGTGATTGGCTCGCGGGACTTCTGCATCAGCTGGCAAAATACAGCTTGGATTGACGGAGCAGGTGGGAACTGGGGGCAAGGGCATGCTTGTACAGTCCACCCATGGTTCAGGCACAACCCCAGTCACAGGTTGGGTACCACCCCAGGATGTGCTGAAATGGGTGGTCAAGACACCAGGAACACCTTTAGCTTGAGGTCAAACAGGGGCCACATCCACACGCCACCCAAACCAGCAACGAGACTGGAATAGAAATGCCATTCCGGCTCAGAGGGAAAGGAGGCCCTGACTTTGACTGGGTCTTCTGACAAAGAGCCTACAAAGCCAACGGTGGTGCACCTTGTGCAGAGGTTCAGAGAGAAACAGAGCATCATCCCCAAGGCTCAGGCCTGTGGTACTACATCCCGTGGGAGGTGCCTACACTGGACACTATCAAGGTAATTGCCTTAGCAGTAGAGGAATATGGATGCAGTGGGCAGCAGCCCAACAGTCCTTGCTTTACAGGGTATTAAAATAACCATCTGTGAGCCAGGAGGGAGACAGAATGCCCAGGAAGGCACATGGCATTGTTGCTGCATCACTGCAAATAGAGAAAGGCCTGCTGTGAGATCCAAACTGAGTAGAGGGTGAGAAATACTGCAGACAGCCACAGCTGCACCTCTTTGCATGGACCAGGTATGACCCCGACCATTGCAAATAGGTGAGCAAAGGACTCAGAAAGGCCTTGGAAGAGACTCTTGATTTGAGGGAGGTGTCTGAAGCAGGATGTTAAAGCATGCTTCTGCCTTACTAGCCTAAGGAAAGTGAAAAAGGACCTTTCACAAGGAGGTCTTCATACCTGCTGGTCAACGGCCACAGCATCTAGTCCATTATACATAATATTGACCCAGCCATCCTTGGAAGCCAGAACAAAGAGGGACATCAGAGCCTGCAACGTACAAAGCAAAGCAGATGTGGAGCAGCTGCATCTGGCAGGCTGGGGAAAAAAAATCGTGGGTTTACGCTCTAACGCACACAACACTGAAATACTCTTCCTGCTTGTGTGTCTGCACACATCAAAACCTGCTCCTTCCCCCATGGAGGGGGACAGGAAGTCATGTGCAGCCAGATCCACCAGAGAGAGCTTGTGAAGAGCATCTGTTTCGTGGCAGGAGGAAAAAGAAAATCAAACTCTCTGTTGCCACCACTTTTCTTTCCCCCACAACCTGTAAACATCATTCAGGTACCAACCCACTAGTGACACGGCTTCTGCATGGATACCCATGCCAAATAACTGCCTTCCCTGGCCCAGGTATCAGGCTTTCCAGGTGCTGCATCTGCGCCCAGGGAAGAGGTATGCACAGGAGGAGACAAGCCCACCACCGAGTTCCCACCAGAGACAGGGGCTGTGGGCACACTCACCTGCCCCAGGTTGTCAAAGTTGTACTTGTGGTGCACCCACTTGTAGTTGGCGGCCACGCAGTCAGAGCGGTTGGTGATGTTCCTGATGTCGACTCCCAGGCAGTGGTAGAACTTGCCCTTGAAGAGCTGCAGGAAGAGGGTGACCACATCAGCCTCTTGCCCCACCGGGTTCCCCATTCTCTCTGGGATGTGGAGAGGCTCCAGAGATGGTGGGTGGGGTGCAGGGCTGCAAGCCAGGTGAAGCATGACAGGTAGGGAGGACCACCAACGTGATTGAGGGCACAGGCTCAAACACTGCTAATGAGCCAGGGCCACCCTTGTAAGCCCACAGCCAGCTTCTCAGTCTCCTCCATTGCTCCAGGCCAGCAGTGACTGTAAGCCCTCACCATCTGACAGCCTTTAGAGCAGCCTTTCTGGGTGAAATTAGAGCCACTGGCCCAAAAGGAAAAAAAAAAAATAATCTTCTATTCGTCCCCAAGTGTAATCTCCCCTTCCTGCTTCCCAGTTACAGGGGAAGCTGATGGGAAAAGATCTCATCTGAGGGTAAAGAACCAGAAAAAACATCTCCTGCTCCTCAGATGCTTTCTTTCGCAAAGCTGCACTGCACTGCTGTGGCTCTTCTGCCCAGGGCTCCTTTCCCCATATGGAAGGCACTGGATTGTGCATTTGTACAGATGCATCAGAGCAGACTAAGTATAGCGCATTCCCTGAGATGGAAGTGACGCCCACGCCCTTGCTCCTCTGCAATGCAACAGCCAAAAATAAAGAGGATTTAAAAAAAAATAAAAGGAGGTTGTGGGTGGATTTAGGGCTCAGAGCGAGGGGGAGAAACCGAGCTGACTGGAGACAGGGCTCGTGCAAGCAGGCGCCGAGCTGCTTGCTCTTGCGGCGTGGCACGGGCGTGCCCAGTGATGTGCTACGCTAGCCCTGGGCTCTCCCTATAGCCCTGACCCAAACCCTGACACAGCCCTGCCAGGCAGGAGCATTAACCCGTCCTGCACACCCAACAGCGCCTGCACTCGCTGAGCGCCTGGCTGTCCTTGCCAAAGTCTGCAAGGACATTGTCGTGGGAGACAGCTCTTGGAGGAGGGCAGAGGCAGAAAGTTTCCTGGCTTGCCTGTCCCTCCCGCTCTGCTTGGCGGTACCTGGGGGTACAGGTGCCCATGGTAGGGTTGAGGGCACGGGGGCTGTTTGATGGGCAGTAACAACTCTACCTGCACGCCCAGGATGCCAAAGATGATGAAGAAAGCGCAGCAGATGAGGACGATGTTTCCTATGGGCTTGAGGGAAGAAATGAGTGTCTCCACCACGAGCTTCAGGCCAGGGGCTCGGCTGATGACTCTGGAGGGGAAGAAAGGGAAGGGGTGGCAGAGGGTCAGGGCAGGGATGGTTAGCCTAAGCTAAGCATTTTCAGCAGCAATAGACCCCCACTCCCCCCTGTGCAGTGGCCCATCAGCAAGGATCACTTTCCTGCAACCAAAAAGCCTCTTCTCTCCCATGGATTGGTTGTCTGATGAGGCACCTCCAGGGCCAGAGCTGTATGGCTAAGGGAAACCTCCCTATGGCTTTGCCTGGCACAGAGGGATCTGACTCTGGGACCCTTCCTGGGGGAGTGGGAAGAGGTACACGAGCAGGGCTCAGTGGGGCTCTGACCGGAGGGGACGTAAAGTGCGCAGCAGCCGGAGGACCCGCAGCACCCCCAGGATTTTGGCACCACCAGCAGAAGCCACCGAGACCACAATGTCAATGAGAGACACGAAGACCAAGAAGCCATCCAAGATGTTCCAGCTGCTGCGGAGATAAGCCTGATCCCCAAAATACAGGCCTAGAGAGACCACCTGCAAAGGAGGAGAGAGAAGGGATTAAATGGCTCCTCTCCTTGTTGCCCGGTAGAGGGCAGCTGTGGGGAGGGTGGGAGGATGAGGGACGGTTATCAACTCCATGTGACAGCGGAGTGTCATCTCGTCATCTTTTCCTTTCACCTGGAAGTCTATGAAGGAAAATGTCTTTGGGGAGAGTGGTGGCACGTAACTCCAAAAATATGGTCTCTTCTCACCTTTCCTCTGCCTCCCTGAGCAACAGGACACTGTAGGGAACACTCAGGAAACCTTTCCCTGCCATACCACAGACCTGGGGCATATCTCCCAGTCCAGAGATTGCCTGGGAGATAAAACTGGGCACCAGAACCCATACTTAGGCTCCTAAGTCAGTGGTTCAATTCTCAGCAGTTCTCAACACCAGCAGGTGCTACAGAAATCGATGGCCTGGGGAGAGGTGAACACCCTGAAAATCATGCCCATAATTTAGGTATGAATTTTAGGGGGTTTAAGTTTAGGCTCCAGTTTTGAGATTGTCTTCACCCAGTTTTGGGACTCCTTCCCAACCAGAAAAGGGGAACAGAAAGATTCCCCTGTTGTTATAATTACTTAATAGGTGTCTAAGTACTTTATCTCAGCTAAGAGCATGTTATTCATATTGTTATTATTTCCCCCATTTGAGCTCCAGGAGGAAGGGAACAGAAATTTGACATTATTACAAAATCCATACCTGGAGGTCAGCTATTCCTCCTAGATACTAGGATCCCTTTGGATTTAAGGCCTAGGATAAACATCCCCTCCATGCCTGACAAAAGGAGACTCAACCCTGGGCAGTATCTGCCGTTACCAGGGTAGGGGGAAGGACTGGCACACCGAAAAGGTGGGGAGATTTTAGAAAGGTGCTGAGCAAACATGATTTGTGTTGTTCCTCACACACAAATGAGGAACACAAGTCTCTGAGCTGCTCATCTCCACAGTAACTTACCTTCAGTGTCATCTCAGCTACAAAAATGGCTGTGAAAATGTAGTTGGACACAGTGAGAAAGATTCTCTCCTAGAAAGAAAAAAAAAAAAGGCCTTAAATGTATGTGGGCTTCTTGATCTGAAAGTTAGGGACGTAAGAGCCTTTGGCAAAGGTCAGTGCAGGGCAGCTTTCGCTCACACACCTTGTCTCAGCCCTGGGAGCTAAGACAGGATCCTATGCAACTCTGCAAGAGCACAGTGGATGAGATTTGCAATGTATCCTGCAAATCTGGTTTCAAGGTGCTCTCTGCCCTGCTCCACAGTGCTGCTCAGTCCTGACCTGCCGCGCTGAGCCGGGACTCCTTCCCAAAGGGCTGCTGAGCACTGACCGCTGGATTGTGTGTGAGTGCCGTAGGGTCTAGGGGTCAGGTAAGGTAGACATGCAGAAAAAGCCACTTCACTTGTCAGCCTGAGCCATCTCCAAGACAGCTCAAAAGCAACACACATGAATAATGACATGCCATTCCTGCAGAATGGAAGTTACTTCTATCTTTTAGTTCCCAGTTCCTGTCCTTTTTGCCACTCATCTCTTAACTGCAGGTGGCTGGAGGATTCCCTTATTCCCCAAGAGGGAGGGAACTAAGATTACTGTATTGTAAAGTGGAATGCCCTGTTATAAGATCCTGCAGGGGAACCACACATTTATGTGAATTACTAATACTTGGGCATTTGAATAGATGAGTGGGAGCTGGTGTTTAATGCTGAAGTTCTTCCAGAGGTCACAGCAGTGCCAGGAACACTTACTGACCTCTGTCAGAGGTTATGCTAAAGGGCAAGTGGGAGGGAATGGTGCTCACCGTGCTTCTGTGTTCAATCTGCGGTCTCTCCAGGGCAATGGTGATGCAGTTCAGGAAGATAAAGGCCAGCACCACGTAGTCGAAGAGCTTGTGAGCGATGATGGTTTGGCAGAGGAGGCGAAACCTGCAAGAGAGTTCCAGTAGTCACTTGTGCCTTGGGCAGAGCAAGGTTAAGAGCTATGAGGACAGAGACTTGAGAGGTCTGGCCAAAACTGAGCTCTAACGTAATGGCTTTCCTGCCACTGATACTGATGTCTCTTGCCATGGCCATATCCCAGGGTAGCCAACAGTCATGTAGGGAGCCTGGAGCAGAGCAAGGGAAGACCCCTTTAGCAGGAAGAAGTTATCCCAAATTTCTTTTTTTCAAGCAAGAAGAATTCTAACTTTGCCCTAAAATGTGTGATATGACTGCTGATAAGTTGTTACTGGGACTGAAAATGAAATGGAGAGACTGTTCTGGTACCAGGGGAGGAAATATCCATATTATGGACTCGTTAATAATACATTCCTTCTCCTTTTTGGGTTAATGTTTGTATTCCCTGCCTTGCTTTGCTATAAATATTTATGATAACACAAAAGAAAAATGGGATGCTCCAAAGGGAGGGAAAAATCACAATAGCTACTTAGGATTCTCATCCTTCCTTTCATCTCCAGAATCAAGGGAGAGGAATGCTGTTTGGCTGTAGAAGGCGAGATGGAGGAGACAAAACACATTCCCCGCTGGTTAAGTTTAAAGTTGCAGCCCAACATGCAGCTCAGGGAATGTGGTCAGCATGGCAACAGAATCTGCCCCATCTTCTCAGCCCTCTCACAGCAAAAGCTGCACAAACCTGTTTTGTGGAGAGAAGAGATATATGGACCAGTCTTCCCGTAATTCACACCAGTCTGGCTTATAGACTTCCATCATCTTCCGGATGCGAAAGCACAGGCTCTGGAGGGACACAGCAGAAGCAAGTGCCACTGGTTACCTTCCCACTTGCCTGGAGAGGCACTCTTCCTTTCTTGCTTCCACTCTGACCCCAAAACACCACTACCTGCAGTTCTCCAGGTGCACTACCTGCCTTTCTTTAAGCCCCCGAATGAGCAAATGGACTCAAAGAGCAACAAAGCCACTAAAAAGGAGGTAAGAGCTGCTTTTCCAGGGTCTGTTTACCTCTTGGCATCTGATTTCCTCCCCAGATCATTATAAATAAGACTGGTGGTGTCTTTTCTAGGGCTGGGTGTTGTTCATGATCCTTTTCAGAGCAGTGCAGGGGGGTTGGAACTAGATGGTCTTTAAGGTCCCTTCCCACATAAACCGTTCTATGATTCTATGAAATAACAGCCCCTGAATGACCATGCACATGCCTCACACCTGCTCTTCCTCCCACCATCCACCTGTACGACTGCCTTGCCCTGGTTTGGCCTACTCTGGGCCTAGAAGGTCCGACCTGTGTTCCACGTTGCCCTCCAGCTGTACTTAAAGCACTTTTGCAAGCTCTCCCATCTACATCACAGGGAGACTGAAACTTGAGGATGGACTTGGGGTTTCCCACAGCACTGCAGTGTAACCCCAGGTTCCCCGCACCGAGTACTCACATAATCTATCTCTTCATCATCCTCTCCCCGTTCCTTGCGGTTGTTCATCTTTGGGAAGATCTCCTTGGCAATACTAGGCATTTTGCCATTGCAATCTTGATGCTCGCTGGCCCCAGACACTGCTCCCAGCTTACGGGTCACTCTGTGGCCGGACGGGGCTGAGGCCAACTCCAGCAGGTCACAGGAGCCTTTGTTGTCCAGGGAGAGCGTCCGGCGGTGATGAAACACCCTTCCCATCCCATCCGTCTCCCCATCTGCTACCCTGTGCCTCTCCCCAGACAGGAGGGATTCATGCTCAGCGGAGGGAGGTTTGTGCTTCAGGCTGTGTCCCCGGGCCAGGCTGTTCCAGCTGGAACGACGGCTGCCCCAGGCCCCGCTGCGTCCCCAGGCACCATAGTGGGAACTGCGGGAGCTGGACTGTAAAAGAGCAGGACGAGAACTCATCGACTTCGGGCACAAGGAGGGAGCATGCGATCCTATTTCAGATCGCAGACTTCTCCCTGCGCCCCTAAGACAGGAGGTTGCCATTTTTTAGCCGTCGAGGAAGTTGCATGGTGGGAATTTAGCAGCAATCTCTGTAAATCTGACAATAAATTGGTAATGAGTTAGCAATGGTCTTGGCTGTGATTACTTTATAGCACCATCTGTGTGCAAAGCACTTACGGGGAAGGTAAATAATAAAACCAAAGGCCAGGTGCCTGATGTTGTTACTTACACCAGCACAAAGCAATAATAAAGCTCTCCAAAAAACTGATTGGCAGCTTTTTACACTGCCCTGGGGTAAAGGATAACACAAGGTACAGGGTGATGGATAATCTGACACACCATCTTTGAGTACAATCTTAGTAAAAGGAAGAAATGAAAGAAACAGGCTTGTTGGTTGCAGCCTAGTCCTACCACATCAGCAACTTGTCAAGCAGTACGTGGCTGCCAGCTCTCCTCGCTTAGAAATAATAGGTGCATGAACCCCTTGAGCACCAAAGCACCCCCCCAAGCTCCGTGTGTCAGTGGGAAGAATGCCCAGAAGCTGATGTTCTGGATGGGTGCATTGGCTGGACAGCCAGCAGTGCCTGGGGAAGTGCTAAGGGGCAGCAGGACCTGCTATGGGGAGCTCCAAGTCAAGGTTTCTCTCTTCATTATTACAAAAGCTTCCAGAAAACCCATCTGTTATGGGACTTGGCAGTTCTGGCATCACCCAGATATTTCTATGCTCTTAACTCACTTCATTTTGTGTCCTGTGCTCTAGGAAAACAAGGAAAGGGCAAGAGGACAAAACATGTTTCACCCTACAAGGGAGGTTCTGTCTCCTTGTCTGGGCCTAGAGGTGCTCCCCCTCTCCCACCAGGATATAAAAGAGCTGAATCCCACACTCAATTGGATATAGGTCGATGACATGGAAATAGATGTCAATAATCTGGAAATTTAGCTAAATAACATGAACTGACCTGGTTTCATAAAGAGGGGCAATGTGCTTGTGCTAGAAGCACTTGCAGCAGTGCAATCCTCCGCAGCAATCCCCAGATGACAGCAGAGTGTTTGGACTTCAAAAGAAGGGTACGACACACATTTCTACTTGCTCACTCACCAAAGACCGCTGGTCATAGGTCATTCTCCCCAGGGACATCACACTACTCTTCCGGGAGCCAACGGCAACGCGGATCTGGTCAGGCTGCAGGGAGTTGCGCAAAGAGCTGGTGACCCCCCCAGCAGCCACTGGTGGGTTGGAAGAGGGCAGTGATGGGTCTAAGTGTCCATTAGGTGTCACAGGAATTGCACAGAGCTTGGGATCTGGGTGGAAAGATGCAGAAAGAAGCAGAGAGAAGAAAGAAGAAGGTGGGTTCTTCACTATCCAGTGACTGTTTTGATGTTTAAGCTATTTAGCATGTTAGCAGCAAGCTAACAGAGTATTAGCTGTTTAGTATCGATCAACACTGATTCCTTCTGATTTAGGGCATTGTGGCAAAAGCGGTGCAAGCTGGGAAGACACTGAAGCATTCTCCTCAGTCCCCAAAACTGACAGCGGCTTTCCTTGGGGCCAGAGAGTTGAGCAGAGTGCTGGTCAGGTAGACTCAGGCTGACAGGCAAAGCAAGAAGCTGAACCCTGGCAGCAAGTGGAGGAGGGTGTGCTTCTGCATGCCAAGAACAGACACCTGCATCTTCAGGTCTGAACAAATACCCCTGACTGTCAGGCTGGCTATTTAAAGCAGTTAGGCTGAGAAATTGAGGAAGAGCCTAAGATGTGGGGAGACCCGCAGCCATCCATGTATTTGGGTCACCTTTAAATTCCTGTAATCATACTCTTCATCCCAGCCAATCCTACTCTAGTGGGCCTTTTCAGATGACTGATCATTGACCTTGAAGATCCAGGACACCTTTGAGAAGTGTGTTAGGTGCTGTGGACAACTATCAGCATTTGTCAGGATGGATGGAGACTATGGGGCACTGGATTTTAATGCCCAAAAGCACTGTAATAATAATTTTTGTTTGACCTATTACACAGTGAAAGACATACATCCTTGCCTGAAAGCAACAACACAGCAGTGAGTGCACCAACAGGCTCTGCAACCTCTTCCCCATCTGCCCTCCTTGGGGTTTGGTTCCTACATTCCGGGTAAGCTCTCATATGGTTCAGCCATGTAACCCAGGATCAGACTGCTGAGAAAACAGCTAAGTTGCAGGAAAAAGATGGGACAAGCCAATACTGGAGCCACTGCTCCTTGCTGCAGGAGCTGCATTTAAGCTCAGACCTGTGCCTGTGGCCCTCGTCTGGGTTACGCTGTGAGTATGCTTTGTCCCTGTCCTTGCACCTTGCTGATCCTGATCTTGTCTTGCTGAGTGGACTTCCTGGCTTGACCTCAGACCTGCCTCACCCCTGTGGACTTGCCTGGCAACCAATGAAACCCTGGCTGACCCTGGCTAGAGGCAGCGGACCTGCTCTGCTCCCCCTGTGCAAGTGCTGTGCCTTTGTCAGTGTGGTCCCTGCCCTCCTGACTGGCTGTCCCTCCCCCTCATCTCCTGGCTCGCCATACATCGGAGAGCAAGCTGCTCCCTGCCACCAAGTCCTGTCTGAAGTCTAATAGCTCTTGTAGAAAGACTTGCAGTCTTCAAGGAAAGACTTTGAGGGGTGGAGACCTTACCCAGCAGTTTGTAGGCAGACTGTTCTACCAGTTAATTATCTTTCCTTAAAAATATGTGGCTTTTTTCAGTCTGAATTTGTCTAGCTTTGGCTTCCAACCTTTACAATCTCATTATGCTTTTTTCTGCTCAATTAAAGAGCCATCTACCATCAGAAATGTCTCCTTATGGTCGGCACTTCCAGAGTGTGCGATCACATCCAGTTTCTCTAAGCTTCATTAGGCTCTTTCTATGAGGCAAGACCTACAGATTTATCCAAGTCCTTTTTAATGTGTTGGCATCCCCTATCCAAATGTGGGTCCCAGATTTGGATAGAGTGTTCCTAAAAGGGGGTCCTTGAAGCTAAGCAGAGATAGTCTCACTTCTCACTCCTAGCTGCCATTCTATAGGTCATTCAAGAACTGTTCCCCTTAGCTATAACATTCCCCAGGATGACAACACGGCTCTTTTTCCACAGATTAACTCCACAAACTACCATAAAGTTCAAAATTAAAACCAGTATGTTCTTGGAGATGGGAGTGAATTTTCTGCAGAATCTGCTTTCAGATTTCTCACTGAAGAGGAACGAGAGATAAGCAAACGAGGCTGGCTGAGCTACTGTACCTGAGCCTTCCTGGACCTCTTGGAACTGATCTAAGTCCTCCATATTCGATGAACTCTGATCTTCATCTGAGTATGACCGGTTGGCATCACCCTGGAACACACAAATGCAGAAGTTGGGAACTCAGAAATACAACAGACCATTTATTCTTGTATTTCATTGCTGGAACAACTGTAAAATCCTCCTTGGCAGCCAGGCATCAGTGTGATCACTGGACAGAGTCTCATGTGACCTGTGATGACTGACACACGGCGTTCTTGCTTTTGGGGGGACAAAGGACTCATCCTAGTAGGGTAGATAGGGTCTGTTGCACAGACCTATTGGGAACTCCCTACAGAGGGCTTGTCTCTTGCCTTGCAAGGATTGATAATGTCTTTTTTTTCCTTTTTTTTTTTTTTTTTTTTAAATTAAGCCCACCCTGAACTTAAGGGAAATGACAGAGGCGTGACACTTCAGGAGTCCTCCACCCCAGTACCACCCTCAAAGTGTCTGAAAGGCCCCCTTTTCAGCACCTCCATTCCCCCTCCCAATGAGGCCTCGATGGCAACTCACCTCAGCCTGGAACCCCTCCACGAGAATGGCCACCAGCAGGTTGAAGAGCACATAATTGCCAAACGTCATGAGAGCCACAAAGTAAAGGGATGCCCACGGTGAGGTGGAGGCCATGCCGTTATAGAGCACAACATTCCAGTCCTCCTGGGTTAGGATCTGCAACCAGGAGCAGAGGCCACATAAACACGAAGGAAGAATGCGAAGGGGGTTCTCAGAAAAGGACAGTGAAAGGATACACATCAGGACCACATCAGGCCTCTTAACTTCCCCATAAACACACACCCACTGTCACTGTCCATGTGGTACTGTCCCAATAACATTAGCTGAGGAGGAAGAAGCAAGAGTGACCATGATGGCAGCCGTGTGCTGAGGTGAAGGTTAAACAAGGGAGTTGCCACAACCGGAATGACCTTTGCATACTGTATCCCAGGAAGTATATCCTGGGGGGGATATCCTGGGATATACCCCAGGAGGGTATATCCCCCTCTCTGAAGGATACACCACACACAACTGCTCTTCCTCCAAACAACACATGCCAGAGCCTTTCCTGCAGCCTTGTGTGCTGTCAGGGGCAGGTGCAATGCTCCACAGTGAGAAAAAGCACCTCCTGATCCTCTTCACTTTGCCTCAGCCCACCCTAGAGAGCAAGGTGAGCTCACCTGAAAGACAGTGACAATAGCCCACAGCAGGGAGTCAAAATTCTTCCGGTCAGGAACTGTATCTCCTGTGTCTGTCCTGAGGCTGAACTTGCAACCAAAGATGTGCATTCCCAGGATGCTATTGGGACAAGAAGTGGAGATGGTGTCAGATATAAATATCTCTGCCACCACAATGAGCTCATCAGAGTCATTCTCTCTTACTCCCAACAACCAAATGTAAGGAGTGAGGGGTCAGACAACACAGCCAGACCACTGGGACCTATCTGTGAAGAAGGAGCTGTGTATTGCACCCCTACAGCTCACAAAAACCCCTTGCTTTCCCTCTGTACTGCCTCAGAGCTCACGCATTCCCTCCAACCTGTCCTTCCGATCTACTCTCTCCACCATTCTTGTTTGCTCTCATTTTTCTTCATCTCCCTACCACTGCATCCATGGGATGCACTGACAAACTTTATTGGTTGCTTCCTGCCGCCTTTCTGCCAGAGTCAGCCTCCAGACTAAACTGTTCCTGCAGCCAGTGATTACCAAGAGACTTCACCCATCCTGCGACGGGACATCATGCTCAACGTGCGCATTTGGTGGCAGCATTTCTCCACCCCATCCAGGCCAAATCTTCAGCGGCTGAACCCAATTTAAGACAGCAGTAACCTCAGTCTTTATGAATAAGTAATTGTTTGTCAGTGCTGCCTCAGCCTAGAGCAATGGGCAAGACAAGTCATGCAATCACGCTCTGAAGTTGCTCTCTGCATGAGCCATACAGCGCCTCTCCAAAACATGGCGAGGCAACTAACCGCCTCCTCACCTGAATATAAAGATGAAGAGCATGAGGAGCATGCAGAAGGTGGCTACGTTGTCCATAGTCTTCATCAGCACCACAAGCTGGCGGCGCAGCGCGGGCATGAAACGCACCAGCTTCAGCACCCGCAGGAGACGGAAAGTCCTCAACACGGAGAGGCCCCCGTCTGACTGGCCGATGATCTCCCAGATGCTGTGGCCCAGAGAGGCACAAGGAGCATGAGGGACAAAATGACAGACAAGTCAGCAAACAGAAGAGAGGAATAACTAATCCAGCTTTTCACCTCTGCATTGGCAGCAAGTATAAAGGGGTCAGAGAGAAAATCTGTTTGAGCAAGATATAATTAGAAGTATATCCTACAGGCTTATATTTGTGTGTAGAAAGCTGTATGTCTCCCTTAAGAACATGAACATGGCACTGCATGTTGCAGGAATGAGGAAAGGATTGCAGCTTTAAATTCCAGCAAGATGAGTTCTTCTATCACACATTAAACCTTTGTAGCATCCTTAATTTGTGCATTTTAAAAATATTTCACAGCTAATATTTGTTGTGGACTTACAAGGCATTTGCAATTGCCTCCAGTCTATAGAGGAGAGAACTGGGGCAGAAATGCTACATAGCTTGCCCAGGGTTGCCAAGTGTTAGGAAAAGACACCTTTGTCTCCCAGTCCTTGGCCTTGTGCATCAGCTCAGCTCCTCCCAGTATAGCTGCTAAATCTCTGGAGAGGAGGAGGCTCCGGGGAGATCTTATTGCAGCTTTCCAGTACCTGAAGGGTCCCACAAGGAAGCTGGGGGGAACTTTTTACAAGGGTCTGTAGTGACAGGACAAGGGGGAACGGGTTTAAATTGAAAGTGGGGAGGTGTAGATTGGATATCAGGAGGAAGTTCTTCCCAGAGAGGGTGGTGAGGCACTGGAACAGGTTGCCCAGAGAAGCTGTGGATGCCCCATCCCTGGAAGTTATCAAGGCCAGACGCGATGAGGCTTTGAGCAACCTGCCCTAGTGGAAGGTGTCCCTGCCCATGGCAGGGGGGTTGGAACTGGATGGTCTTTACGGTCCCTTCCAACCCAAACCATTCTATGATTCTATGATCCTTTTTGAAAAGGTACATGGAAACGTGCAAGCTCTGTGGTGCTCTTTTCTACACATATTTCAGTTGATCCCCAAGACCCTTGTCACCTGATGATGACGATGATACTGTCAAAGATGTTGTAGGGGTTGCGGAGGTAATCAAAGAGACCAAAAGCAGCAAGTTTCAGGATCATCTCCAGGGCAAACATGCTCGTAAAGACAACATTGCTGATCTCCAAGATGTTGGTCAATTCCTCTGGCTGGAGAGAAGGCAAATTCAAAGAGTCAGAAATGATAGATCCCTGTAATTATGGGAAATAAAGTGACACCATTCCCAGGGGATAGGCTCTGGAGGAAGCTGTGAAGTTCCCATGGGTGAGATTAGAATGAAGCTGGATAGAGCCACTTGCACCCCAACTCCTTTGTACATTTATTACCTTCATCATCAGTTATGTCCTTCAGAAATTCTTTCACTAGAGGTGGTCAGGAGCCCCACAGCCATTCACACAGCCAAGGCTGACCAAGCGTCTCCCACATCCCACTCCATACTCTGGTTCCCCAGCTAAAGGCTACTTTACTTTGTGCAAAGAACTTGAGTATTTTTTGCAGCAGGGCAAAAGTGGCTGCTCTGTGGTCAGCCTCTTTCTGCAAGGATTTCTTCCTCTGAGGTTTCCACAGGTAACTGTCACAGGATTTTTTCTGAAATTCTGAAAACATTTGAATGATAGGAGAGCAGTTCCCATCTTCATCTAATCATCGCTGCATTTCTTTGCCCCTTTCCCTTCTGTTTTTTTTTCCCTTCCCCATTTTTTTCCTTCCCCTGCTCCCCACCAAATCCTTGTTACGCATCAGTTTTCTGGTCTTGCTCCAGCAGTCTTTTCTCATGCCTCAGAGTGGTCTCAATAATTACCCAAGTGAATATCAGACTGGATGAGCAAGACAACAGGAGGGGTACACTGCTAACACCCTCCTGAAAGGGACAGCAACAGCAGTACAGGGTAAGGGAAAGATTTTGAAAGAGTACAATGGACATCAAGAGGAGAAAGGCAGAAGCACAAGGTAAAAACCTCCAGGGATGGCACAAGATGACGGTGTTGAAAAAAATAAAAAAGAAAAGAAAAAAAGGAGTTTGACCCTGCCACAGGCATTTTTTTCTGTTGAATCTCCAACACATCTTTCAGCCCCTGTGACACAGCCTTCTTCAGCAGAGCCCAATGTGTTTGTGCGTGTGAGAGAAAGTTTTAATGATTCCATCAGTGGAACAAGTCTGAGCAAATTAAATTACTCCTCCTTTTGTTTTCTGAATTAATGACTTCTTCTTCAGTGTGTGCAGCCTTGGAAACTTCTCTGACAAGGTCGGGAAAGGGTCTAGACTGTTTCCTCAGGAATGATGAAACGGTGCATAGGGGGAGACAGAGGCTGCACTGATGTCATCGATGAGGGACACCAGGATTTTGCCACCCCCTGTGAAACAGAGGCATTCCCTGCACTGAATTTGGGATGGACTCATCTGTTCAAAGTACCTCTCACTCAGGGACTAGGACTACACCAGGCCAAACAGCAAGGGCTGAGGTCTCAAACAAGGTCAGGTGCATGAGGGGTGACGCACATCTGCATATACTCACACACACACAGACATAGCTCAGGGAAACCACCACGGCAATGGCAAGGTGCAAGTGTCCCCAGAGCGAGAGAAAAACCCTGCCCAGTATTATAGGTGCCATCTAGGGGCCAGGCTAGACACCCCATGGCCTTCGGACAGCATAAGACTGCTGGGGCGAGTCAGCAGGCTGTAGCATGCTGCTGGCCATCGTCTTCCCAAGCAGCAGCTGGTGGCAACCTGCTCCAGATGAAGGTGTGCCACCTTCCCAAGCGGAGGGACAAGGCATGGCAGCTCCAATGCACTTCTTCAGGGCTCCTCTGCCCAAATTTCCATGTTTACCCTGTCACACCTCAGAGAAGGTTATATATGTGATGTTTAACCTACTGCACCACTGAGCCCCAGGTCCAAGTCTTCGAGGTGAGCCTGACCCAGGTTCTGTGGTAGCAGGCAGTACTGCTCTCACTGTTTGGATACCCATGCCAAAAACGTGGCTCACCTCTTCCTTCCCATTGGTCTGAGCTATGCCTAGCCACCAGGCTTCTCTCTTAAGCATCACATAAAATGGATGGGAACAAGAAAACTGCAAATGCCTGTTGTTCAGGGCAAGAGAGGACAGACACTCCTGGCACTGCAGAAACAAAAAAGTGATTCTCTGCAGGTCAGAGCCAGTAATTTTACCATGAACTTAGTGTTAGTGCCCACCAGGAAGGGGAGTCATGGTCTACTGCCTATGGACTGCAAAATTACTGATTTTCTGAAGCACAGCCTTTGTTGGCTGAGCCTGTTACTTATTCAGACAGTGAAAAGGGGAATGCAGTTCTGGATCTGGCCCTCCCCCTGAAGCTGGGGACTGCTTTAACCCTTGCTCTGGGACCCCCAGAGGCCCAGATCTTCCCAGGTGAGCAACTGGGAAACTGCTCCTCACACCTGTAGCTTCCGATGCTCTTTGCTAATTTCTTGCACTCCTCATTGCAGCTTTTTATTGAAATACTCCATTCCTTTACAATCAAAAAAGGGGAGATGGCTCAATTTCCATCCATAATTACATTTGAATAACAAAACCATCCTGAAATTGAGGGGAAAAGGAGGGGAGATAAGAGCGAAGAGAGAGAAAGAAGAAGCAAATGCCCCCGAGAAGGGAGAGATGAAGATCACTTCACGGAGAGCCAGGCAGTAATGACACTTGCTGGAAACATGAGGTCCATATGCTAAACAGAGATGCCAATTTCAGCCTGAATCAAACGATTATGTCAGTGAGAATGAGCAATGTAAAAAAGCGACAGGCTATGATGGTGGATTATCCTCCTCTCTGCTGTCCACACGTTCTCTCTTGTGCTGTCGTAGGGAGCAATTGATGTTTGAAAAGCCATGCCTGCATCTCGCTTGTGGAAAAGGTCACCTGTTCCCCTGTCTCTCCTTTCCTCCCTGACATCTGTTTCTCTAGTCAAGCCTCCACCTGTTAATCTTTTTCTAATGGGCTATCAATCAGCCCCAGCAAAGCATCCTTCCTAGAGAGAGGGGCAGGGAAAGGAAGGAGAGATGGGCAGAAAAAAAGGCAGCAAAAGAGGAATCAAAAAACAGAGCTGAAAAAAACAGTAAAATAAACTCACTGGCACTCAGAAGTAGAAAAGGACAGATTTTTAAAAACTGAGCAGGAAAGAAGTAAAGGCTAGGGAAGGAAGAGCAACACAAAAGGAATGAACTCCTGGACAAAAAAAAAAAAAAAACGAGAGGGTTGTGCCGCAGAGGCACACTGACTGGCTAAAGGCAGGTCCTGCATCGCAGGCGTTCCTGGAGACACGAGTGCAAACAGCCATCAGCTGGGGAACAGGGCTGCAGGGACAGAAAAACAGAGGTTGTGTCCTGTGCGGGGGTGCCCTCACACCTGGAGCAGTGTGACCCTGGGTGGCAGTGGACAATGCTGGGGGGGGGACTGTCTCCAGCCAGGGAGGTGAGAACTTGATGAAGGGGGCAAACAAAACCAGAAAAAGTGGTTCTCTCCTTTTCTTCCTGTGGACACGTGGGATCCCCAACACAATGGATGTCTCACCTCGCAGTTGTGAGAGCTCCCCAGGCTCCCACTGACAGCACTCTGGCCCCCTTAGCAAGGCTTCCTCCTCCCAGGCCAGCTAGGTTTATCTAGAAACTCTAAACTGAAGTGTCCAGAAGGAAATGCCTGAACTCACAGCTATTTTAGTCTAAGCAAAGTCAGGGAGCACCAGAAATCTCCCCACAAGAAATCTGTTAATATCGCCAAGCCAGGATAGACTGGTTTACCCATCCCACTAGGGGAGAAACAGAACTGTGTGACCTGAGTACTGGGGTGAGGAGGGTGGTTTGAAGAGGAGTGAGATCTCAAGGAGCAAAGCATGCCCAAAGACAGTATTTTAACCAGACTGGTTCACCTACTCTGCATGTGGAACTCTTTTTCCAAACCTGTGAAACTCCCTAACTCACGTCTTCGTGACACAAAGTCCTTCAGCCCTAACAATGTAGATCAGACACTGGGAGGGAAATGTGTGATTCAGATCTCCTGCCCATTGAGCAGCAACTAGAACTGGGGCAACTAAGGGCAGTGGCTCAGCTTTTCTCCCTCTTTTCTGTTTCTTACTAATTAGCATCGGAGTTCGTATGTCAGATCAGACTGAAAATGTAACTAGTCCATCACCTGACAGCAGCCAGAAACTCCTGCACTGTAGGAAAGGTTAAGAATACGCAGGAAACCATGAAGCCCCTGCAGGAGAAGTCTCTCCTAACCCGGGGTAAATCTGCAGCTGTCTAGAAAGTGAAGAATAATTGATGTGATCTATGCAGACCGGCCCTACCAAACCCTACCTGTACATCACTGTCGCTGAGAACAGGAGAGAGAAATATTCCATACAGAGGTCTCTCTAGCCTGTCCATTTTTACTCACCATTTCAAAGTCACTTAACAGTGATCAGAAGAGATAGAAATCAGCCACGGAACATACCAACCAGCCACCCCACAAGCACAACCAATGCAGGATTTTGTGATGTTTTGTTATACCCTAGATTTACAAGACTGAAGTAATGTGGTTTCATCTACCACCCCAGGGAGACTGTTTCATCATTTACTAAATGTCAGTATGATGAGCTGGCTTGGACATTTGCTGAATGTTTCTGACAAGCAGCAAATAGTAAAAAGAGAAGCAATAACTGTAAAATATGAACTTGTGGATGCAATAAATGCTGGTATAAAGGGAAATCACACAGGCTAAAGAATATGAATGTACTGATCCACAGGGCTGGTCTAGTTAGGAAACAAGGGATTGTCTCCTGATCCACACAAGACAGACCTCATAAAGTATTGATCTGATGTACAAAGGAATACTGTAAGTAGATACTGTAGAAGATAAATCAAGTTACTCATCAAATGTCTCATTTGCTACTAATGGCAAAGAATCTTGGAGTCCAACAGGCCATTCAAGAAATACATGAGAAAGGTAGCCTGGGACATTTAGCTGGGCCCAGCCTTTCATCCTAATGCTGAATAAGGGAAAAAAGGGAGCAACACTAGATCCTCTGTGAATACTAAAAAAAGTAAGCCTCTTAAAAAGATCCTTCTGGACAGCCATAAGCATCTAATATCTTGATTTTCTACACTGGATTTTAAAAATAGGCACTTCCAAGTAGAAGCAGATCTGAAGAACAGCAAAAACCACTTTAAGCAGGACAAAGCTTGAAATTATGGATTTTGGCTTGTGCAATGTCCCAGCAATATCTGAAGGCCTAACACTGAGGATATTACATGGTATAATGCACACTGATGGATTTGAATAAACTTATCTATTTACAAGTGATAACTTGTGATAAGCTTAAGGATTAAAAATGACTCATAGCAGTGCAGTTTGTCCCAAAATGAATTTATTTCCCTCACAAGAAATGTATAAGCGGATGGGAAGTTGCCTTGGCCACACACACAGGACAGGACATGGGACTGGATGGATAAGTTAAAGCCAAATTCCAAGATGATTTGGATACGAGTAAAGTGGTTTGAGTTGTTGAGGTTAAGTTTCCTGGCAGAAAAACACTGTGAACATTAAAGCCCTGAATTGTAACAAAGAGAAAATTTTAACGTGTGTTTTTCTTTCTGTTGGCCAAGGCACAGGAATCAAAGATGAGGCTTGCACATGGACTCTGACCCCAGGCTCCTATGTTTCTGCACTTGAACCTTGTGCCTGGTTCCTGCAGCCTCTCTGACTCCCTAAGCTGATGGTTGGTGGGTGCTTCAGTCAGCAGGCCAGCTCACCCATGTGTAGTCCATGAACAAATGGAGCAGCAAGGAGCTGACAGATGTGCCATGAGCTGCTCCCAGAACTGCTCAAACCTGTGACACCTTCACACATGTCCTTCTGCCCAGCCAGGTATGTCCCCAGAGAGTGGCTGGGGTTGTCATTTCTTATGCACCAGAAAATAAAAGCTCTATACGCTTTAGCTCTGGGCCAGGAGACATTCATATGATGCAGTGGCTGAAGCAACAGAAGCTACTTCAGTCATAGAATGGCATCACCCTGCAACTCACAGATATCTGTGGGCAGAGGGGGTTTTGCTGGATATCGTTCTGTGAACATTTGTGTTTCTGGGAGGAAAAACAACAAGAAAAAGAGAAAGGAAGGAGAGAAAAGGAGGCAAGGAAGCGCCAGTCTGAGATGTATTGATAGCATGGCTTGAGAAAAACTGAAATGGAGCAAAGGGAAGTGCAAATGCCTTGTGCTTTTGAGTTAACTGCTGACTGAAAAGGACCTGGAATTCATAGTATGGTCTGAATAGCTTTTTTTTTAATGTTCTTGTGCCAGGGGAACAGGATTCAGTACACACACTTTAAATAAACAGGCTGCACCACATTTTTCAGTTATGATCAATTCAGCTGACATCTCTTTCTAGTAGAAACAGCATGCAGTGTCATAAGCTTTTACTAACTACTTACGAATAAAAAGTGATAGCATAACTTTAAGGACATGTCATTAAATAACCTGCTACTAGAAAACCCAAGGTTGGAGGCAGATCCCAGTCTGCTGTGGGCTGTACAAACACAGCAGAGGCAACCTAGAAGGGCTTAAATCTGCACACACAATAGCCAGAACATGAGAGTAAATTCTATACCTCTAGCTCAAATATTATTCTGCTAAACTCTTAATTCACACTGTCTCCAATAAACCAAAATGAACAATGGCGCTCTCTGCTTGGTGCTCACATCTTTAAAACATCAGCGGGCAGTTTTCATACTGTCCTGGGCTTCAACCCTTAGTCATCTCTCTGCTACGTGATAAATACATAGCTCTTTTTTATCTATTTTCATGAGTCAACCCCTCCAGCCTCTTCTTCATTCCCCTCTCCTCTGAGCTCCTGCCAGTATTTTTCTCATACTGAAGCATCCAGTGCAGTTTTGCATTCTGGGATCAAATTAAGGTTTCCCATCCTTGTACCAGAAACTAGCTGGGCTTTGAAAAATGGTCCAGTGCTTGGTACATGGGTGGGATCCAGACATCTGGGGCTTCAAATATTGGCTCAGACGCTGTGTTGCCTCAAACAGGGAATTTAAGACACTCTGGGTCTCAGGATACCTCCATCCTGATACAGCACAGGACAAATCCGAGTGCCTCGCTTGAACCAGACTCGGTGCTTTTCTCTTTGCTGCCCAAGACTGTGTTCAGAACTAGACTTCACTTTGGCTCCAAAGCTTCAATGCAGTCAGCATCTCAGCAGTGTAGCGCTCTCTTATTTTTGTGATCTGGGTAGACATGTGGAGCAAATCATGGTCACATTCAGACTGGCGGCACAGATCTAAGACATGGATGTACAGCATGGACTCCTTTAAAGTAAAGCGCAGCAGAGCAGCCAGCCAGCAATGCAGATGCAAGGTCATGGGCGTGCTTAACACCCTCTGAAGCTGGCTCTGCACATCACAAAGTAGATGCAGCCTCTGTTTCCCAGCCATAAAAAGAGGGCACACAATCCTTCTCCCTCTCACAAGTCTATCATTAGGATAAAATGCACTGCTGACTCAGAGCTGCCTGCAAACTATTGTCATGAAAGGCAAACCTGTGCCCACACCTGCTGTGTGTGTCTGAGCTATTGTGCTGGGTTTGGCTGGGGTAGAGTTAATTTTATTCATAATAGCTAGTATGAGGCTATATTTTGGATTTGTGCTGAAAAGAATGTTGGTAACACTGATGTTTTTAGTTGTTGCCAAGCTATGTTTGTGTCAATTCAAGGACTTTCTCAGTTTCTCATATTGCCCTGGTGTACCCGGCTTCTTCTCTGCAAGAAACTGGGGAGGATACACAGCCAGGACAGCTGACCCAAACTGACCAAAGGGGTACTTCATGCCATAAGATGTCATGCTCAGTATATAAGCTTATCTTAATAGGTCAGGGAGGATTACTGCTTGGGGACTGGCTGGGTGTCAGTCAGTGGGTGGTGAGTGGTGTTTGGTTTTGGTTTTTTCCCCCCTGGGTTTTGACTCTCTCTATTGTTTTTTCTTTACATGTTATCATCATTACTTATTATCATTATTAGTAGTAGCAGTATCATTTTATTTCAATTATTAAACTGTTCTTATCCCAACCCATGAGTCTTATTACCTTTATCCCCCAATTCTCTACCCCACCCTCTCATGCAAGTGAGCAGCTGTGTGATGCTTAGTTGCTGACTGGGGTTAAACCATGACACCTATCTATCACTTCTTACTGTCAGGGCAAGGGAGAGGCTCAAGCCATCTGAGGCCCCAAAATGACTGGAGATGGGAGATGGTGCTTTTCATAGCCTTCTTATATAGATAGGCTGTGCTCAGGCATCTCTTAATTAAGCTGGAAAGGCTAGCAAGCTGATGGATTTGAATTGAGATGCTGGTGAAGTGTCTGTGACATCCCCAGAGGGCACATTAAATTAACCAAATAGACTAAGGATTCAGTAAGCTAATGAAAAGAGAAATGAGGGAGAGATATGAGGAAGATAGAAGAGACAATGGTGAAGGAGAGAGAAGCAGATGGAAAGAGAAGATAGGGTAAAAAAGAAAGACAGAAGGTTAAAAGTGAGCAGGGACAAGAGAAAGAAGGATTGAAAAGAGGCGAGAGGAAAATACATGGAGATAGCAAAAGTGATTAAGTGCAGGGATAAGGAGGACAAGACCCTGAAAGATCCTGAGGCTTTCTCCAGAGGCATGCTGGGACCATCTGTGCTGTGGCCTGGGGTCCAAATTGCTCAATTTCTGCCTCCGCCGAGTTGCATCAGCCGCTCAGTGAGACCGTAACCCTGAGCAGGACTGACTGGCCCTTGCTGCCCACTCTAAGCCCTGAGGTGCCTTACCTGCTCGTGGTGCTCGATGCCCATGCTGATAGTATTCACCAGGATTGCAATCATGATCCCACGGTTGAAGTACTTGCTATCCACAATCCCTCGAAGCTTGACCCTCACTTCTCGCCACATGTCACTGCAGATCTTCAGCCGTCCACCTTCTTCTACCTCCTCCTCCTCCTTCTCCAGCCCTGAGGCACCCTGGTCCTCTCTGCTGCCCTCTCCCTCCTCTTCGCTGGCTCCTCCATCCTCCTGGTCTGAGTCAGCACTATCCAGGACAGAGAGCCTTCGGGATGCTTTGTGCTCCCCCCTATGGCATCGGGGGCAGTTGGTGGGGTCAGAGGTTGCTGTTACAGCAATGGGCTGGACCAAGCCCTGAGGAGGACAGTCAAGAGAGTTGTGCTGCTGGCAAAGCCCTGGGGAGAGAAATGATTCCACTTAAAGGGGAAGGCTTTGAAAAAAACATTGAAACTGGGAACCTGTTTGGCTTTTGGGTATTTAGACAGGGTAACTAGGATTTTCATCTGCAAGGATGATTAAACACTGGCCCATGTTCATAAATAAAAGCCATTGCTGCTGGGGGCTTTACGCTGACTGGCTGTGTCACCAGAAAAGCACAGTACTGTTCAGCTGCCAGTGATGAGGCTCGATGGGGGTTCATGTCCATCAGAGCAAGAGCTGTTTTGTCTGATGCAGGAATCACAGCTTGACACTTAGTAGCTTATGTTAAGCGAGAACTAAGGGAAAAACGATCACAAGGGCTGCTTTTGGCCTGAACTGCTACAAGTGGGGTCCGAGAACCCACACACTGAGCTGAACTCCCTAAATTAGGGAAGCTGCATTAGCAAAGCATCTCAAGAAGCCAGAAAAGGTAGGCAAGAACACTTCCTCCTGATAGTCCGTGCACTCTGAATCAGAACAGATCTCTTAACTTCAATGAGAAAACTTAAGTTTGTGTTGCCCGATCCTCCAGTTGGGCCTGGAAGATTAAATGGACACTGGGGGAACAAAGTAATTAATTCATTAACACTGTGCATGAAGCCTGCAGAAACTTTTCTTCCAGCAAGTACAAAAAATGCAAGAATGAGTATATGCAAGACCAGCTAAAGGAAAATCCACCTTTTTGCTTGTTAATGGGAGCATAACTTAGGAAAGGCACTGGCAGGCAGTTAATGCTAACTCTATAAACCCATTTTTACAGCCACTTTTCAGGTCAGAAATTCAATTTAAATGGTATCTCATGCCTAATTTTACACAACAGCATGTGCTCCCATCAAGAGAAATTGTCTCCATTGCCCCTGCATATCAAACTGACTCCTCCAGTATTGCTCCCTTGGTTCAGGAGACACCCTAGTGCAATGCTATTCCCTTTGCCTCCCTTTTGAGGTCCCACAGCAACTCAGTTTGGGAGAAGAGCTTTGGAGGACCTGCTGTGTCACCGAGTCCAATCCCACTCTATCACAGCCTCCTAACAATTCTCTCCCCAAAACTGCTATTGTCACCCTGCTATACTTGACCTGGAGCCCATTACAAGCCTCAGCCAGTGCCTTTAATATTCGCCAGTTATGGTCTTGGGGTTCCAGACCTGGGTTTCCCATGTTCCCTGCTGCTCACCCCTGGTTCATTCCCATTCTTGCTGGTCATCCCCACCTTGCTGGTCCAATGCGCTGGCCATGGCCCCATGCTCAATGGCCAATGTTAATTCTAATCCCGTGCCTTGTACATGCAGGACCTTTAGCAAGTTGGCACAGGGAGATTCTCCCTGTTACTCTCACACTTCCACTATTGGCATTGCCAGCCTTACCCACGCAATCCTTACTGTAGTGCCTCTGGCTTTTCCTGTTCACGCCTAGCTTGGCATCACTCGGCTCCACGTGGCCCTGGCGCCGGCTCTGTATGCTGTTGTACAGCCCAAGGGTACGGCGTTTGGCTTTGCGCATGATGTGGCAGACGTATTGGAAGATCTCCTCGTAGCAGTCTCCTGGCTCCATGTAGCTGGCGACAGTGCTGGAGGAGAGGTACCGGGCCCTCTGCTCCTGCATCAGCTGGTGCTCCCGTTGTTTGGTCTCCGAGAACTGCGTGGCGATGACCACCAGGCACAGGTTAATCATGAAGAAGGAGCCCACCTAGGAGCAAAGGGGAAGAAGGGACAGTCAGTGTCAGCATGAGGAAGAACATGCAGGAGGGCAATGTAAGAGGAGAGAGGAGAGTAAAGTGTCTGGAGGCAGACAGAGGAATGGGAACCAGTCTTTGTACGGAAATAAGATTTCTGAGAAAGCCAGAGCTGGCTGAGCTTGGTTTTGACAACTTACTCGATGTCATTTCCATGCAGAATTTAGAGCTCTAAACTGGAATTCAGGAAACACAAGCCTGACTTCGGCAGGCTTTGGGACCTTTAGGAAGTCACTTAGAAGTTACCTGCAAAGCATCTGATGAAAACTGGACGTTTGCTTTCCTCCTCTTTTGTCTTAAGCAAACGGCCGAAGACAGAGGACCAGTTTAGTAGTTTGCTTTCTATTCTGCTTGATCTTTTACTAACAGAAAAATCATGCACTGTCATTTCGGGTCTTTAATTCTTAGAGAACATGTCAGTATTCTTGGAGCATTTTATTTATTTCTACCATTTACACCTTAATTTACCATAAAGAGAGATGGTACATTGCTGAAATGAATGAGCTCTTGAAATCAAAGAGGAGTTTACAAAAATGAGTGACTTTGAGAAGGACACTAAATTATCTGGCAAAACAGTGCTTCCTTGCTTGTTTTCTATTCTTCCAATACTAGGCATATTATATTAGATCTTATTTTACTTGTCCTCCAGCCAGGCTTTCCACTTAGAATACAAAACCAACCACAACCCACTCCCCAGGTTTCTTAGAAACACAACAAAATGTACAAGTTCTTCCTATTCTCCCTACAGAAGCCAAAAAGTCTAGCAGGCTTCTTTTACACCTTTGCATGCTCCCTTTAATATTCCTTTGCCTCAGTTTTCCTACCTGTAAAATGGAGAAAATGTTTCTTGGTGCTGACTGGAGGTAAAAATCCCACTGTCAGCGTTAGATATTATGAAATCACAGATGAATCTCCACTAGTTACGTTTAGGATAAAACCTGGGATTAATATGAAGAGAATTTCACACATAGAGGGGCTGGGTACACATCCAAAATCATTCTCAAAAGCTACGATGCCCTGAGTGGTGCCTACTCCCCTGCAGAGCTGTAAGCGGCAATATGGCATTGATAAAACGCAGAATCTGATCTCTGACCAAGGACCACACATCTGTGCTGCTCTGAAATGGGCTCTGCGGCGCAGCCCTTGGGAGAAGAGGAAGCTCCAGCTCAAGATTTCTGCTTCCCCTGGAGCATCCCTGCTATGGGACATCCTCACACTGTGTTCCTCCTGTATGCACCCCCACAGGATCCAGTCTCACCTCCCTGTCTCTCCTTTTCGAGCAAACAGTTCTGACACAGAGCTGGATCTAGTCCTGCCCTTATCTCCTCTCATATAACCCTTCCAGCAAAGGGCAGCGGGTGAGCAAAGGTGACAATAACCCAACCCTCGTGCATGGAGAAGGTGGAGGTTCTTTCAGCAAGTACCCCAGCTTGTGTTACCTATCTCAGCAGCCTTCCTCTCAGTGCACAGCCCTTGCCACCCCCCCACCAGCCTGTCCCCTTGGTTGTCCCTTTCTCTTGCACACAGGTGCCCAGCAGCTCTGTCCGGAGGCTCAATACAGCGGTTCCCCATATTTCAAAGGGGAGGTGTCCCTGCTAGTACCTGAATAAGCCTTCAAAACACGAAGTCCTTCCCAACTAGATTCAGCATAAGGACAATAAACCATCTCAAAATAAAGGGCTTTTTCTTTTTTTTTTCTCTTCCTCTCAGCCCGCTTCAAAGCTGTTCTAATTCTGTTTCCCTTCATCACTGAACCCTTCTCTTCCCTCCCCTCCTGCCCGCATTTCAGCCTATTTTCCCTTCAGCTTCTGTACGTGGCCTTGAAAATTAAAACAACGCCTCGTTTGGATTCCTTCGCCTTCCCCCAAGATTCTCCCTAGTCCGTGATGTCGTGCATGTTTTCACTGATGACTGAGAATCTAAATTCTCCTCTGATGCACACTCTTGTCCTTTTACCGCTCAGCACCACACACAGTCGGGATTGCCCATTCAGTTATCTCCCTCAGCTTGCCCTGCGCTAGGCAGGGCTGGGAGCTGTACACCAGCTGGGCATGCATCTCGGGAACACGAATTGTGACACTGCCCAAGACTTGGCAACTTCCAACAACTCCAAAACCAACACCCTATTAAGACTTGCAACACCTTCTCTGCAGGCTACAAGCAGAGGGGACGAGGGCAACAAGATGCCTGCAGTAGGGTCACACTGTACACCTGGGGTTGAAGCCGGAGCAGGGTTCAGGTTTCACATCACCAAGCCCTGTTCTCACAGGCACCATCTGCTGTGATCTCCCATCAGACGACCAAAAAGGAGAGGAGTGAGAAGACTGGATATGGCAGCTAACCCCCAGTCCTTAAGACTCTTAGCTAGGAACATCAAACACAGAAGACATGAGCTTGTTTAATCCTTAAGACGACAGGCAAGTCCATAAACTCTAAGGCTCTGCCAAGCTTGACAATGCCACCCAGCTAGCAGAAGGACAGGAAGGGTCCCATATGGCTTGTAACTGAGTGATCCATCTCAGCTAGCTGAGCAGGGAGACCAAAAGTGTCTGACATGGAGTCAGACAAAGCACCCGAGCGAGGCAGGAGGAGACCGTTGATTCAGAGCCCCGACACAGCAGTTTGTTCAGCCCTGAGACGGAGCTGTACTTTGATGAAGCAGATCCTGGCCTTGTTCAGCCCAAGGTAGGATCCCTGTCGCTTCAATATCTAATAAAACATGAGTGGTGCTGGAGATGCTGACTTACTTGCCCGTTATTTTTATTGCTTATGTCTGGATATCCAGCTTGTCTTCTGAAGCCCACGTGTGTAAGCACAGAGCACTTCAAGGAGGCCACTGACTGCTGCAATGTGCATGCCAGCCTGAGAGTTCAGAAAAAGCTTTCTCTAGTTCAGGAGCCACACCAGTGGCCAAGTATCTGGAGAGGTGACGGAGACAGCTGGACCTCCAGCAGGAAGACCCCAATTAAACACTGACAGAGAGGTGAGCAGAGAAACCCAGGCCTTTCAGCCATGGAGAAGGATAAAGGCTGGAAGGATTTCATGAGACTTGAAGAGGGATTGTCATTTCTATAAGACTTAATGAAACTAAGTGACAGCAAGTTCACACTCGCTTTATGTTGCAAAAGATGCATTACATGTGCAAAGAAGGTAACAGAAAGGCTAAACACTTTCTTGGTCTAACTCCATCAAAGGCAAAGGGAATATCCCATCTAGCATATGGCTCCTTTGTTCTGAGCAGTCCCCAGAGTAAGTTGAGGTTCGTATGCTCCTGTGTTTGATGGAAATAAACCTACGTGACTTCTGCAAACGAGGAGGGAGTGTCTAGAAATGTCAATGACACTCCGCAGTAAAATCTCAGGTGGAGTGTTTAATTGAGGGTTTTCAGCACCTGCAAATTCAGCGACAAAGTTTGAATCACTGGGAATCCACATGAGGCGAGCCAGCACTAGAAGGATGCTCCTGCTGAGAAACCAAAAACGCACTGACAGCACTTACGTAGTTTGGAGCAGGGGGTGAGGGGCAGTTTTTGGAACTGGCCCACAGGGGATGGGCATGCCCACCCCAGTGGTTAAACAGTGACTCTGCACAGTCCTTCCTGGCTCTGGGGGAGACTGTGAGACAAGGAGTAAATCCTGTGCCGAACTGCACGCTGTACACATCTGGGTATCTTAGCCACGTTGCTCAAAGTGAAAATGCAAGTGGGTATTATCTGTTGCATGATGCGGAACCTGAACAAACTTCATGGGAAATTACTGTTTTCTGAACTCACAAAAAGCAGTGGATGTTCAGCTTGCCTTTGGGAACAGAGCTGGGGGGAACTCTCCCCCATCCTGTGCAGTCATACCTCTGCACTGTCTCTCCTTGGGACTTCCCTGCCTCAAAGTAGAAGTAGCATTCCTCAAGGTGTATTTCACCTCTGCTGTCCTGGCTCATGCTTCAGCCCACTGGGACCAGGTCATCTTTCTGTTTTTCTCTCCTCATCTTTCCCTTATGATGTTAGAAGGCCAAAAGGCAGGGAGAAATAAAGGATACCATGAAGAATCAGCTTTTTTGTATGTTCTCTGACCTGAATGGACCAACAGATTATTTTTTTTTGTGCCATTCCTCATGTGTACAGGCTGCAGAATTTCTCCCAGAAACTGGATTAAGGTTTGTTTGCTCTCAAGTCACTACATGTCAGTTTGAACTTAAACTAGATCCTGTGCCAGCTGAGTCTGTTAATATTATTGTGTGACTGCTTCTAGAGATCCTATCTCTAGGAGGGTATGGCCACATAGGACAAGTAGTAGGTGAAGAGCAGAGTCTTAGACAGGTCCATTCAGCAGCCCATCCAAGTGCATGTAGGCCTCAGTAAGGACCTCAGCGTGTATTTCCAAGTGACCCAGAACTAAATTGCACCTACCATGTACAGATTTTACACTTCCCGTAAGTCATCTTATGTCTTTCCCTCCTACTCTTGACACTGATTGCCATTCTGCAGATGACACCAAGCTGTGTG